TCGGGCCTTCCAAAACGTAGGACTCGATTTTGGCGGTCCGTTTTCCATCAAATCAGCTTCAAAACTTAGAAAAGTCGTCATCACCAAATGTTATTTAGCTTTATTTGTCTGCATGGCGACTAAAGCCGTTCATCTAGAATTAGTCTCAGACTTAACTACCGAAGCCTTTTTAGCATCATTAAAACGTTTCATTTCCAGAAGGGGCTGTCCCACTATCATATATAGTGACAATGCCACCAATTTTCAAGGATCAAAAAATCAATTGCACGATTTATATCTTTTCTTAAAAAATCAAACTAATCTTGACTTTATCAAATCATACTTACTTGAAACAAAAATCACATGGAAATTCATTCCCCCTCATTCTCCCCATTGGGGTGGAATTTGGGAATCCGCCATTAAAAGTGCGAAATATCATCTCATACGAATGGTCGGAGGGCTCACATTAACTTTTGAACAACTTGCAACTATCTTTTGCCAAATCGAAGCAATCATGAACAGTAGACCACTTTGTCCATCATCTAATGACCCGTCCGATTTTTCAGCTCTAACTCCAGGGCATTTTCTGATAGGTTGTCCCTTAACCGCGTTTCCAGAACGGGATATTTCTGAGGTTCCACTAAACAGATTAAAATTTTGGAACATCTGCACTCAAATTCAACAACACTTTTGGAAAAGGTGGTCAGTAGAATATCTGAACCGTTTACAAAATAGGCCCAAATGGATGGAACCTCAACTAGAAATGAAAGTAGACGACTTAGTCCTTTTAAGGGAAGATGATGAAATGGCCATTGGCGAGAATAATAGAACTAATACCAGGAAAGGATAATAAATCCAGAGCAGTCAAAATCAAAACTCAAGATGGCACTTATATCCGTCCAATCGTTAAGTTAGTACCATTACCCAGTGTCGAATAACATGATGTGGGTATTCCGGTCTTATTATTCATCATTTGTACATATTTAATAAGTTTAGTATTTCATTCTTCGCTCTTTTATCAAGTATCAAAAAAAAAAGGAAAAAAAGGAAAAAAAATTTCTTTCTTTTTTTTGTTTTTTTTATTTTTTTCTATTCTATTCTTTTTATTACTACTTAGTTTAGTAATTATCACACAAGCGTAGAATCATTTGTTGTTTTTGTTTTAAACCTTCATGTTGTACTACTTTCAGTGTAACATCAGTAATCATTAGTTTTCTGACTGTCAGTATTTCTGAGTTGATAGTAGCTACACACCTATCAAATTATCAAATTGCACATAAGTGCTGGTCCTTCGAGTACCAGAGAAAATCTTTCATTTTCTGTTTGTTTTTAAACACTCCGAATCTTATTTAGTTTGTTAACTTTAATCAAAACTTATTTCTATTTATTATTAATAATCATTCACTCTCTTGCGCCGCCCCCCAATATGGTTAAATTTCATAACATTTAACCAGAACATTATCATTATAAAATTCCAATGCCGGACCTGTATATTCGAAAAATGCCGGTTCAGCTTGACGTCACTTGGGTTGCGTTAGCTATGACCCGGATACTCATTTCGGCTTTTGGGTTCGTTAACTATGACCCGGAAACTCGTTGTCGGCTCCTTCAGCGTGGGCACCGAGAGCTGAGAGTAGCGTTCCAATCTTAACACTGTACACATCTCCACTCGTAGTATTTTGTTGGTTTTTGTTTTTTTTTACGTACGAGTGGAATTAAACGTTCATAAACGGCTAACATGTGGTCGTATATATTTTAAACATTTTTTCTTATATAACAAGTAATGGTTTCAACGTGTTTTTCATCAATGTTTTGTAAATAGCTGTATAAAGTGCTTCGTAAAAGACTTTTAAGTGCAAAAGTGAGGTTTAAGTGACAAGTTCTCATCTGTTTACGTGACCAAATGAACTTACATCAAGAATCGAACTATCTAACCTGCATTTTTTTGTAAAACTATTCCGAACTTAAACATTTTCAGTTTCTCTCAATAAAATCTAGTGAAAATTTAATTTAAAGGGTTTTCATTTATTTAAACTCAAAGAAGAAATACCTTTCCAAGGAAATATTAGAAGAGCAAAGGGGTTATTACCTCAAGGAAGAACCTGATAATATCACACATGTTACCTTACCCGCAATTTCTTGGCATACCAGCAACCTAGAAGGAAATATAGAACATCACATCAAATTAATATGAGACAAACCCTCATATTTTATTCAGAAAACAAAAAAATTATTAATCATTGGGCAGAAGGAAGTCGTGGCTCTAACAAACAAAAACACCAGAAACAGACAGAAATGAAATTCTACAGCGAACTATAAGAGGATGTAGGAAAAGTCCTTCCGAAAGAAGTAGAATCGACTATTAGAAAAATTAAAAGCGGTAAAGCAGCTGGAATAGATGGCATAATAGTGGATCTGCTTAAATACGCTGGCAAAAAAAGCTAGAAAATCTTAGCAGGCATATTAACGAACTGCCTAAGATCAATATGCATACTAGACCACAGGAATAAAGCAATTTTATCATTCATAAGAAAGGTAGCAAAGAGGATATCAAAAACTGCAGACCTATAAGTCTACACCAATCGTATATAAGATATTGACAAAGATTATCAACAACAGATTAACAAATACATTAGATGTTGTACAGCCAAGACAGCAAGCTGGCTACAGAAGTGGATTCAGTACCTTGGATCATATCCTTTGAGAACCAATGAGTAGAGCTAAAGAATATACCGCTAGCATTTACCTTCATAAATTTCGGGAAGACTTTTGATTCTATATTTCCCAAGGCAGTAGTAGAAGCTTTGGCCAACCAAGACATTGACAAACCATACATAGACACTAAAGCAAATATACACAGACAAGCAAAAGCTTAAAGCAAAGGGTAAAAAGACGCAATATCACCAAAGCTACTCACTGTAACTCTAGTAAATATATTCAGCCAAATTAACTGGTGGAGCAAAGACATATCCATTGATGAAGAATACCTTAGCATCATCGCGTGCATTATTCTGGATATACCTGCTGATATGTGCCAAAAATCTATTTTCGGATCCATAAAGTACAACACTTTTAAAAATTGTTCTGAAGCTATTTTCTTCTGGCATCTTATAGTAATTACTGTTTGAATGGGAATAAGCCACAATTAAAGTTTAAGTTTATTGAACTTTTAATTTCCACTTCGAAAATCGTTCTCAAAATACAAACAATAATGTATTTATTTATTTATATATTAATTTATTTTAACTAATTTATTTTGAGAACGATTTCTGAAGTGGAAATTGAAACGACAATAAACTTATTTTAAACTTTAATTGTGACTTATTCCCATTAAAATAGTAATTGATTTTAAAAATGCTGTTAAATAGCTGTATCTTTTTCTATTAAAAGATAATTTTTGACCAGAGTAGTGAGTTTAGGGCGCCTATTATTATTTATCCCTTTATAATTCGTTCTTCGATTTCTGCTTAATTATATCCATTTCTTTCCATCTTTACCCTCAAATAGATATACTCAGTATACGACGAAGTTACGTTTCTATCTTCTAAGTTTAGTTAATCGTGTTCAGCTCCTATGCACATGTACTTCGTTTTGTTGAGTTAACATTAAGTTCATTGTTGATCGCTCGTATTACTGTATTTTTCGCTTTGTCATAAATTGTAGATCTTTCTGGTCCTGTGCGATGACCACTTGATCGTCCGCGAAATTAAGCGTATATAGGGTTATTTCGTCGTTTAAAGGTATACCCATTCCTAAATATGATCTCAATTTCTTCAGTGCCTCACTCATACAGATTTTGAAGGGAGATAGTCTGCAGCCTTAGTCAGCCATAGTCCCTTATTTACCCAAAATTCTCGCAAAAACTGGTTGTTAATCTTTATTTTTGATCTAAAATTGCTGTAGAATCATTGTATTGCTTTTACAAGTGTAATATTAATAGATGAGCTTTCCAGTACTTATTATAGTCTACATAGAGGTATTGTATCGCATGCTTTTGTCAAGTCTAGTACTAATAGATGAGCTGGTCTAATAGCCATTATTTTTTCATTTATCTATAATATATATATATATATATATATATATATATATATATATATATATATATATATATATATTTATAGCGGAGATTCCTTCTGGTCCATAGGCTCTTTTATTTTTCATAGATTCATGTTGGAGATATTCTGGTCTAGACTGTTGTAGTTCTTTTGCATAGTTACTTTTAAATTCATTGATGTTGATTTGTATGTTTATTGAATTTATCTCCTCCCTCCTTAGGTTTAGTATGAATCTCTAAGCCTCTGACGACTTGCTACCATCTAGACATGATTACACTTCCTCGCATTTTCGTGCCCATGTTTGGTTTTCATGTCTTATAAATCTTTTTTTTAATGGTGTTGATTGCGGTACATACTGCGGATTATTGTACATGTGTCTATTTATTCATGATACCCATTGCAAACTTCTGGAACCCTCTACCAGGTTGTACAGATCTAGTGGATGGGCACCTTATATTTGTTAAGTCATTTGGTAGTTTCCAAAAAACGCTTGCTGCCTACGGTCGGGTGCCTCTTAATCATGCGCAGCGCAATGATAACTTTTGATCAGCATGACCAAAGCTACCTACCTCTCTATAGAGTTTCAGACGATGTAACTGAAACCACTTTTACTTAAGAAAAGTGCCGTTAGTATAGCTCAGAAAAGCTCAAAGAGCCCCAGGACGAAGAAGAATATCCTGGCTTGCTAACCTGAGAGCATGGTATAGAAAAACCTCAACACAGCTATTTCGTATAGCAACCAACAAAATCATTATAGCCAGAATGATCGCCAACGTTCGGAACGGACAGGCACCCTAAGAAGAAGAAGTATAGCTCAAAATAATCCTTAGCATTTCCTGAAATTTAGTGTCTAATTTTTTGATACTCAACTATATACAACGTTGTTTAGTTTGAGTGTTTAGGGATCTCCTAACGTTACTTGATATTATAAAATCGATAAATTCTTATTAAATTTTTAATTCCTACCTTTTTTATGAGCAAATATAAAATCTTCTAATCCTATTTGGCCCCCTAACAATTTCTTCATGTCCACTTTATAGGTATTTAAGGTACAAAATAATATCTGTAACAAAAAGCAATGAGTTAGCTATTGAACAAACAAGCGGAAGATAGGTATGTTTGATTAATTATTATTTATGACAGCATCAACTGCATGATGGCACGAGGTGAATGAACCATGTTAAATAGAATTTTAAAGTAAGTAACACATGGTAATACAAAAACAGCTATAAAAAACGTTTATTAGTAGGTGTTTATTGTAACATAAAAGATCTAACACGCGGTTTAAATTATAAATGCTTTCTTATTTTGATTTGTAACAATTTGCAACACATGTATCGAAGACGGAGGTATGTAGTGCGTGACTTTACTCGTATAGCATTGCATTGAGCAAATATTTTAAAGCGCAAACTTTATCAATAACTTATTAAAAATATTTTGAGATAATGATGTTGTCTCCGACTCCACATAACATCATTTTCGGTTTTTGGGATAATTTCGAACAAAAAACAAGTACCTATATTATTAAAACACCTTTTATTTTTGTAAAAAAAACTATATCTAGATATTTTAATAAAAACACTTAAATGTTTTTGATGCTACATATTTACAGAAAAGATATTTTAAACGCCACGAAGCTCTTGACAGATGTGAAACGTAACCGCAATATTCTTGTAATCAACTTATAGAAAGACAGTTAAACGTGAATTAAATCAAAGTTAGCGTCGAGGTAATCCAATAGAGGGGAACACGTAGTAAACCAATGAATTACACTCATATTATAACAACACTCATATAATACAACAAATTTTTAATTTGTTTTGGTTACTTAATGGAAAAAAAAATTCCATAGTTTACATTATATAGCATTTTTCATATAAAAAAGCTTGCACGTCATTCAAGATTTACGTCGTCAGAACCCCACAGCGTTGATTTTTAAAATGTCAACTATTTGTCAAACTATTATATTAACAGTAAATACACTTAGTTTTAAGACTACTGCAACACATTAAAATACATAAGAAAACATTTTAATACAAAATTATATATTCTAAATTTTAAACTTACTTTTTTAGGGCTTTAATAGTAAAAACGTCCGGCCATTATTTCTTGGTCAAAATAATCTATCCTATATGAACGCTTATCAGCTTTCTACAGACTATTTATTTGTTTTGGCATATCACAATACACTATAAAAAGCTATTAATCTAAATTTATTATGTATTTATAAATACAATTTATTAATACATATTATATTATAATCAAATGGACCACAGGAGTGATGACGTATATTTTATTGACATCTGTCAGTTTCACTTTCCAAACAAACCTTGTTTAGTGTGGATAATTTGTATTTTTAGTAATTTTTTCATTTATTTTATAGAATCTTTCCGCTTTTTGCAATATTTAAGTATACTAATAGTTACTACAACAATTTTACAAGGTTGTGTAAATAATAAAGCACATTGTTTTATGCTAATAGCTATAAAATGCATGTATCAATAAAGTAAGGTTAGTATTTATTTAATTTAAACTTTTAAACTGTATTTCATAGAAATAGAACTCAGAATTATCGTAAAAAATACTATGCCTACAAGAAAAAGCAGCAGATGAAGCAAAATGTTAACTTTATAGATATTAAAATGTCTTGAGATTTGACATTTCAACTTTTGTTTGGAAAGTAATAATGAAAATGTGACAGTCGTGACGTCACACTTCTGCGGTCCATTGTGTAAGAAATCAAAACATAAACAAAAATCCTACTCTAAAAAGCGACTTTATACACTTTTGCCACACGCTCAACGGTCAATAAAATTTGAAGTATTTCCGTATCAGTTGCGTACAATTGTCCAATCTATTCAATTAAAATTATTATTTTGTGGAATATTAGACTTAAGGAGTTATTTCATAAAATTGATATCATTAATAATAACAAATATTTTTGGTTATTTAATTAATATAATTCTAAAATTTCCAATATAATGATGATTACATTTTTCTGATCATTACACCTTGTTGACACCTATGAAAGATCGAGCAGTTCCGTATGGGTTTCGTATTATTAGCTGTGCTAGGAAAATTTGAAATCTAAGGTTGATATTCTGGAAATTTTAAATACAAGTGACGTCACTTTGTATAAATCGTGACTTGCAAGTGTTTTACTTTGTAAAACGGTATACATTTCTGTTGGCAATGTTGAAAGTTTTTTTGAAGTTATGGCTACATTTTGATTTTTTTCAACTTGTTATGGAATACTATGCGTTTATTTCTTCTCCGGACTAACTCTTCGTTTTGGAATTAAACAGAATATATTGACATGTATAAATTTATTATATTAGAGGATGAAAATTACACTGCCTGTTATTTCTTAAAACTATGAATTTATAAGTTCTGTTATCTACAATTATTTAACGATGTTTCTGGATGGATTTGAGTACAAGAGATTGGACTCAAATATTAATATTAAAATAGCAAATACGGATAGCTTATCGAACAAAGAAATAAGAGAAATAAATTATTATTATTCCATAGATACGAAGTATTAGGCGAATAAACTAACGAAACTTATTTATTCTAAATAGGAAAATATTTATGAAGAGTATTGATTCTGATTTCTAACAGCAAATAATTATTAGTGATTATACATGAGAACTTTTCATAATTGTAAATAACATATACCAGGTGACTAAAAACTATATAGAAATACATAGATACTTTAATTATCTTACATGTGAGTAGGTAGGTACATTACACCTCCTTTTGTAAGAATGAAAATAATTGTAAAATGAATTTTCATTTAAATGGTATAAAACATTTGTATACATTATTATTTTATTTTAACACATTTAAATAGTTTCTTTTAGTCTCGATAGTCTTTCACTTCGTCTTATCGGTGTAGTCTCTGTGAAACTAGTCTCTTCACACTTTTTGGATTCACTATAATTATTGTCTTTATTATGTTTACAATCTATACTTAAATCTGTCTCATGTACATGTTTTCGTTTACTTTGACATATATTTAGTGTTAAACAATTTGTAATTTGTTGACAACTATGTGACGGATTTCTACGAAATCGTCGGTAAAAATATTTAATTATCCTGTATAAAATATAAAGTAACATACATTTTATCAAAATAAGATTGCATAAGTGAAATAAGAACTATTTTTTTATTGTGTCTGAAAAATTAATATTTGTTTCTGAGGTCATTTTCTCTAAATTATCTAGTTTATGGCTTGCTAAATTTAATGCATCTCGATCGAGATTATTTAATTGTAAGGGAACAAGGTGTAATTTGGATTCATTATTTATCTTAACATCATCACAACAGACTTCTGGAAGGGATAAATCTGGGATGATAGACTGAAAATTACTTTCTTTTGGATTTGAGACAGATATCAAAATAGTTGATCCGGTGTAAGTTTTGCAATTATTCGAAGTAGAAAAAATACCTGTGTTTGAAAGAACAATAGATATTGGCGTACTAGTCTGACAGCTTAAAGTTAAATCTGTTGGTTTGGGTAAAACATATATCCAAGAATTTGGTTTGTTTAATTTATGCCAAATTTCATATTCTGTTTGAATTATACGAGTATCGCAACTAGATGGTATGTTTGTTATTGAAGTTAACAATTCAGTTTCACAAATTGGATTAGTGTGTGTAAATCGGAAAGTATCAGGATTTTTGCAAATAAGTTTTTCTTCATCTAATGAATAACAGTCTTCTAATGTATCAATAGTAACATAAATGTTTCTATTTTCTGAAAGAACAAGATATTTGACAGATGGAAGAATAAAGGTAAGTCTCTTTAATGTTGGATGAATTATAGGAAGAGATATTAGTTTAAAAAGAGAATAAGGAGTATTACTAACCAAAGGTATACTAACCGTAATTAAAATCTTGTTATCAAAATATATATATTTAAGTAAAATGATATCGAAATATTTATGAGCATAATCGATAGTCAATGGAAATGGATAAGTCGATGTACTAGGTAAATGCGTTACCGTTTTAGATAATTCTTGAATTAGTTGCTCAGGTGTTATAACAGAAGGATGAAGGTTATTATTTCTTGCAAATAGAATAACGTTTATTAAAGTAGAATATTCTTGTTGTAATTCTGTTATAAAGAAAGTTAGTAAAGTAAAATGTTCTTCAATTTTTTGTTTTAAATCTAAATTAAAATATTTATTATTCATTTTATCTGTGTAATTGGTAATTGATTCAAAATTTTTATCAAAAATCACTTTGTTTCGGTCTAGATTTGTAATAGAGTTATTAAAATTTGCAATCGTGGCTTTTACTACATGAATTTGTTGTTTTAGTAAATCAAGAAGATGATTTTCGTTACTTTCAGCTTTGTTAATAGCATTATTGAAATTTTCAGCATCATCACTGTCTAAGGTACCGAATAAGGTCCTGAAAACAGATCCAATTGCATTAAATAGAGCGCGTTTTGGTCTAAAATGTTCATGCAGAATTATGTTTTTTAAAGTTTGTTCATCTTGAAAGAGTCTAGGTATGATTTGTCCTAAGAGTTTTAGTGAAGTATCACATAATCGTAATTCAATAAGAACTGGTTTGTTTTGACACAGTCTTAATGTTTTTTGATAGGTGAGATCTACAAAATTTAATTTGTCTGTAAAAGGTTGTAAAGGAATATGACTTAATATGTTCCAATGAGTTTCAATAAATTGAACATTTTTTATGTGTTCGTAATAGATTCCAGGTGATTTGTTGATAGGAGTATTGGTATATTTCTTGTGAATTTGTTCACTATTTGTCAGCCATATTATTGCATACCTGAAACAAAAGCATGTTTCAATCTATTCATGTGAACTTTTATTGGTTTTTTATTTACTAAAATTGTGCAATTGACAGGAGAATTTATCTCTAGAATTTTATAAGGTCCATTATAATTTTGTGTAAGTTTTTTGGTTTGACCCTTCTTTGTTTGCTCATTTTGGAGATATACTAATTGTCCTTCTAAGAAAACGGTGTCATTAATCTTTTGGTCATAATATTTTTTACTGACTACTTTAGATTCTAATAGATTCGTTTTTG